ATTGCGCAATCAGGAATGTATTCTCCCCTGGAAAGGCATTGATTCCACTGTGACGCGAATAATTAATTTTGCTTGGGGCTCCTTAATGGAGCTGTCGCGTAATGGCGGACGACGCTTCCGGGTTAGTATTTGAGGAAGGAATTTGTGCCACGGTTCTTGACGGTCTGATATTGAAATAGACAGTTTCTATTTGCTACGCATACCCAAACGGCATTTTCAATAAACTATTGCAACCACTTATACATGTAAGTTATCGTCTAGGAATGAATCATCAAGTTTGATGGCATAAGTTACGCTTCATTGGTACTTTTCCGTCCTTATACAATTCAATTTTCCATATCCGTAAAAATACCGTTGATGTTCTTTGCTTTGATTATTAGTTTATGTGCTATGTTACTTTATGTAAGTTAACGTGTTCATGCATCTTTTCTACACATGCCGTACATATTTACGTGCGTCATGATCAGTAAATCAGTGTCCGCTTCTCCATTCCTCCGAAAGCATCTACATATTTCTTGTTGCTTTAGCTGGCTCGCTTTTCATTCTCGCTTATGCGACTGAAAACTAAACTGCTTGACAACATTAAATTGAAAAGACTCACTTCGGATCCGAGGGCATTCCCTCCAGCCTCCAGGTCATAATTCCGGCTTCAATTATCACAGTGCTTGAGGCGGGCAATTTGGTCATGCAGCCCGCCACCCGTTCACAATTTATGACGTTCGAAGTTTATATCAATTCATCTTTAGCTCGAGTGGCTAGCTGGCTAAGGGAGTCTGCACAGCGATGGTCTGTCCCAGAGGACACCTATGACTGATAACCGCGCTCTATTGAGATTTACTGGCAGCGATTGCCGAAGGATTTCTCGGCCAGTGTCTCCTGAGTACGGAGAAATATAGGGATGTTTGTCCGTGGTTGCCGTGACCTGTGAGAGCCGCTATGCCATTTCGCCTGGAGTGGAGCCGCCAGTGCGTTCTGCAATGGGAGATGCTGCGTGGTTCGTCTCGTAACTAAATCGCCGGTTTGTATCATAACCAGATGCTACAATATACAGCTGAGCCCGAAAGCAGACACATCAAGAAATAGTTTATATCAAAGACAGCAGGTAAAGACAAATCATTCGTCGTGAAACTCTGCCGTCAAATTACCGTTTCGAAAAATCACAACCCACCGTCAACCCAGTTGCCGCTGACCGTCTCGTGTGACATTTCCCATACCCCTCCCCTGCCGAGAAGAGGCCCTGTCGACACGTTTGTGCGTTGATTGCGGTGTCGGGGGCCGTTTGAAGCGGCCGGAGAGGTGTTATTGATCGCGAAGGGGCTCTCCGTTGAGCTAGTGGGATCGAGAACACCCATGGTGGTCTGAGACGGGGACAGACAGCACTTGGGTGGGCATTATAAGGAAATTTATGACACTTGCTGGGACGAGCTCTGTAGTTTCAAGGACTTTTTAACTATTCTCTGCTCCTTATTTGTTGTATGTTTTATGCTTGCGATTTAAGATTATGCTGCATACGACATAAAACAAGGTCGCAACTCTATAGATGGCCTTGGTCGCATCGCAAACGTAAACAGCACCGAACCTTGGGAGCTGGTGCATCTGGCGCAACGAATTAGTTCGCATCATGCGGCACAAAGCTCGCCGTAGGGGTGACAATCAATGCCATCTAAGAATTTGCTCATCTGAAAACACGTAGCACAACAATCAAAGCCAATTTCTTTGTTGCTTTGAAACTCTTATCTCTTTCCCAAACATCGTGCTCCTTCTGTTCATAATGCTTTTTACGATTGGCCGAGGGCACTTTTGGACTGCGAAAGCACAGAAAACATTACGTAAGAAAGAGAGTCCTATGAAGCTCGAGACGGAATGAGACATAAACCGTTTTACAGCGTTCGTCTCTCATTTTACAGTCATGTTCAGCGTCTGCTGGACCGAGACATGCATCTCAAGTTCGATAAAATGAGAAGTCTTACATGTGCCACTTCAAGTCTCTTTTGAAAAAGCTCACTTCTAAAAACCTTTTTGAAGACATGGAAATACGAAAGTATTTAAATTCATGAAAGTAAAAAGTTCATGTGTAGTTGCTTACCCTCATCACATGGCACGTGAATCCACCACCACCACCACCACCACCACCACCACCACCACCACCACCACCACTTGCTCCTCTGCTCCGGCAAAACGGCACCGCTTGACGTCTCATTTTGTCAGCCGCCATCTATATAGCCAGTTACGGACTTTGTATCGGCCCTGTGTCATGGTTTAGCGAGGCCATTTGGTGATAAAGTAACTAGACTGGCCGCTCGGCCAACAGCTGATAGAGGAGGCTGGGCCTCACCCCGCCACGGTGCTGCTCGGAGAGGATGGGATAGAGGCTAGACCAGCGGCGGATAGGATGAGATAGAGGCTAGACCAGCGGCGGATAGGCTGAGATGGAGGCTAGACCATCTGCGGATGGGAAGGGATCGAGGCTGGACCAGCGGCGGAGAGGAAAGGATATAGGCTGACACAGCTGCCAAGGAACGCGGGTCCAGGAAAGAACGTAAGTAAATTGTTCGACAAACCAGGTCCGTGCCTGGACCAGGAGACTTGACACGAAGACCGAGACCAATATGAAAACTGGCGTAGAGATCTGAGACCGACACGGAGACCAAAATTTCGAACGATATTGAAATTGCGACCAATACCGGGACCGGATCTGATGCCAGGCCGGGACCTCCCATGTCACCGCCGTTCCAGCTGAAAGGACGTTTGATCACGGGTACGACCGATCCGACTCGACACCGCGGTGGTGCAAACGACGACTAACTGCCCTGGTGTGGCTTACCACTTCCGAGGGGCACGGTTGGTGGGAAGCCCGGGGATTAGGGCGGTTTCTGTAGTGAGCTCAGTATAAAGACCGAAGGATTTCCCGCTACATCTGTTGTGGGTATGCCGGTTTGTCACAAGCGGCGACAACCAAAATCCGAACACCCACTGCACGATAAATTACAGGCCTAGGTCAGGGTGTGAGTGCAACAGGTCTTTTTGTGCGTTAGCAGTCTAAGTAGCGCACAGTCTTATACTATACGTGAATAAGGAGAGAGTTTGAGGAGAAGGAGAAAGTGAATGATGGAGGGAGGGAGGGAGAGGGAGAGAGAGAGAGAGAGAGAGAGAGAGAGAGAGAGAGAGAGAGAGAGAGAGAGAGAGAGAGAGAGAGAGAGAGACAGAGACAGAGACAGAGACAGAGACAGAGACAGAGACAGAGACAGAGACAGAGACAGAGACAGAGACAGAGACAGAGACAGAGACAGAGACAGAGACAGAGACAGAGACAGAGACAGAGACAGAGACAGAGACAGAGACAGAGACAGAGACAGAGACAGAGACAGAGACAGAGACAGAGACAGAGACAGAGACAGAGACAGAGGGGATAGAAAAGGAAAATAGACAGGGAAAAGAGAGAAAGGAGAGAGAGGATAGCAGGAGAAAGAAAGGGATAGAAACAGATGCAGACAGACAAGTCGATGCCAACTGTAAGAATGTTTGAACACTTGGAATTGTTCGCCGACGAGGGTTTCAGAACCACTATTTGCGTCGCACTGTAAACTTCTGCAACTCCAATGCGGGCACGGTCAATATCATTTCTCCATTTGCTCGAACTCAAACAAATCAAACTTCGTTTCGCTGATGGAATAACGATCCCCAGCTACCAGCGCGATACTATGCGACAGGGTGGTATGCTTTTCATATTCAAAATCACGACTTCATGACTAAAGACTATTCTATTTGTGAGTCTTCTTGAAGGCGAATGATATAAATATTGAATATGTCACTTATTTGATTAGCAATCTTGAATAATGGACAATTTCTTGCATTACGCATACTAAAAGCTTTGAGAGGATATTTTTTGCTCTTACATATTCGCTAAAAGCTGTACTTTTTGAAACAACACATTGATAAGTTTCACTATCTTGCTTGAAACTTGGCATTTTTATTTTATTATGTAGCTAGTTTGACTCATTCGAATATTGTTTCATAAAAGATGTGGCATTTGTATTTATCACAACCCATCAGAGCCATGCTGGGGCGTGGGGCCTGGACGACTAGTGTGCCAGTCCGGCCGCCAGCTCGGCACTGCGTAGACCAGGGCTGCCGTCTCACCACCGCACCGCGGGGCCGCCGGGTCCCGCCACTCCGTCCGAGCTGCTGTAATCGCTCCCAGGCCGATCCACACCTCCCCAAATGGCTGTGTTGTGCTGCTATTGCTGCACCCTGGTCGGACCGCTATTCGGCTCACTTAATTGCTCCATTTCTCGGGACTAGCAGCGCTCTTCCGCTGAAGATACAACGATTTACTGCGATTTATTCCTGGAAAACTAGCGGTCTTCCTACGTTTTGATGCGTCCATGAGTATAGTCAGGACAAATAGAATAGTTATACTAGAGAGAGACGTCTGCGATCTTTGAACGTAACTAATGGATTGGTACTGACCCTTAGCCGTGACCGAAAGCGCTCTGCGGCCTGTGACCTCCAGCTCCTTGTGACCCGAGGCTGACCTTTGACCTCCCCCAGTTGATCTGCGACACACTCGTGTGCTGGATGGGCGAGACACGCTGGGAAGTTCTTTGGGTTTAACCACTCTGAATGCTCGCCGGTCGATGCTAACGTTGTTAGTGGCTGGGGCATTGTTTAGCCGGCGGCCGCGGCCGCTGTTAGGAAGGTTCACCTTCTGAGTGAGCTTTGTTGGCCCTCACTGAGCTGGGAAAACTGAAGGCTTTTGCTGAGCGAGTATAAAGAGGCAGAAATGTTAGCGAAGCGGCAAATAAACGTAGGATTAGTCTTGTTTTTCATTTGCTAGTTTTTATGGTACCTCTAGACCGACGATCGTGTCGTGTGTAAGGATAGGATCACAAAACAACGAAAAGGTGCATCGATGCATAGGTGAATGGTGATGGCTACTTCTGCACGAGAGACTCTAAACTCGCTATGTTGGTGACGGCTCCTTTTGTTGTCTGTTACAGAGGACCTGGATGAGCTTACCAAGATCGACTGCCAACGACAACAGCAGCAGCAGCAGCAACAACAACAACAACAGCCACATCAGCAGCAGCAGCAGCAGACTCCCAACAAGCCACTGAGTCCTCCGCGTTCCTCGGGTCCCCAACACTGTCAGGTCAGTCCTCTCCTTATAAGAATTATAAGAAAAACACACGTAAATACGCAAACATACAAAACGCATACATCGCAGACATGAACATGTATGTACTAGAAGGCACCTGCTCAAGCATCTGCGCACATTTATGATTATTTATTATTGTTATTATCATCATGTTCGTGATGCATGTTTGTGACTGATGATGATAGATTAATTATCATTGTCTGAATTCACTTTATCTATAGAAAAATATCCCAACGTCTAGCCGACATTGAACGAATGTGACCCAACCCTTCAGGATATGGAGAAGTGCAGAATGCATTGGGCACGCACGGAGTGAAACTGGTGCATATTTTTAGGTCGTACAGAGAGCTTATCTCAAGTGGTCTCTAACGACGCACCAACTTTGTGCACGATCAGCCGACGGCCCAACCAATCCTCAAACATTTAAGATAGGTGAGCACGTGCGTTCCTTAAAGGTAGTGTGCCAGCTTTCTTGGACCGTATGGAGTTAATGGCCCAGATAAGGAGAACCGGATTTTTAGAACTTATCCATACCTTCAAAACTCATGGAAACGTCTTAAATTCTTCAAATTTTGAGTACCCCAGTGCGAAATTCGCCCCGACGGGTTGTCGGTCGTACCCCAACCACATTTCACACCACTATGAACAATAAATGCACACACTGAAATCGCTATTACCGATATGCTCATCCAATCAAGTTTCGATAAACCCGTTCATCATCATCTCCTGCGGTTTCGAACACGCCTGTTAGGTGGCTTCTGATGCTCGTCGAGGTCGGAATTTCCAAATACGCGTGGTGCGTCGGGCCGCGCGCTCTGACTTCGGCCAAGAAAAATGCGTCAGCTGATCATTGTCATTTCTGCCACTTGCGTGTGGAGAAATGGGGTCATAACTTATAAGACGACTTTTTCATATCAATTATTTTACATAAAATCATATTTCAAACCATAAATAATGTTCGACAGCCAAATAAAAGAAACAATACCAATACGGGCTTACAGTTTAAGGCTCGACATTGTGTTGTCTACGATTAGACAGCTGATAACTCATTCCCGTACGTCGTATGGTCGTAACACTATAATGACCTTTGCTTATTGTCACAAGTGCGCCGCATTCGCGATTGTTGCCCGACGCCTGTTTGCAGGTGAGCCCACTACAGTTGTTATACATATCTAAAAACCGAAAAACTTTTAGGCGAAAAAGGCACTATTCCAGGCCCATTTTTGATTTTTTTTTGCGATATTAGGTAAAAACAGAAGCTTCTTATCCTAGGAAAAATAACATGGGAAATCTTTCAAAGG